CTTTTCTGGCCTCGGTGCATTTGACATTTTAGGTAATTAAATAAATAATGAAAAGGAAACTAATAACACAAAACAATGACCAATGTATTTTTTCTATATTGGAAAACAGTTACTGCTTTGGCACCAAGAAAGGATATTGGGACATCAAGACGGGGCAGAGCTGACAGTTTGGCATGAAAACACAGTGCATGAGAATAAAGTCATCTAAAGCGGTTTCTAGAGGAAATTCAGAAGTCAAAAATTACTAATGTGTCATAGATTTAAACAAATACAAGCAGTATATGAAGCAGTAGAAGTCATATGGAATATTTCATGGGGGTTGATTTACTAAAACTTGAGAATGCAAAATCTGGAAGCTGATTGGGTTTTATGCAGAGTTCCGTCAGATTTTGCACGCTCCGGTTTTTTAAATCAACTACGTGGTGTTGCAACTTTATCAAGGAATTGAAAGTGGATGAGTGACAACCTAAATCAAAATAACCTGTTTTAAATCATTTAGATTGTTTCAGACATTTTATATTATCAGTGTTATACAGTATGCAATGTAAATGATCCACACTAGGAATTAGGTAGTTTTGCATTATTTACACATAGGGCACTTTTAATATGTTGAGATAATGTTCCTGATGCACAAATAAACCAAACGAATAACGGTAGAGCTGGGTGCAGAGGGTATTTATCTTTAAACCTATTTTGTACACAATGGATGAAGGAATGAGCAGGGGAAGCCCACAAACTAGGGCTGGAATTTACATTTTAAAATGTAATTAGCATAAGCACCTGATTTATTATTTTTTTTATTAGCTTCCTATGGTCCACTTCACACCACCTCTTAGACTGGAAAAGGGAGGACACTCTAAGCCAAGCGGGGGTTTGCTTTGCTGTTGTCAGTCTTAAGCTGGCCATAGATGGATCAAAATTTGGCTGGTTCAGGGACAAATCAATATTCAATCCATTGGCTGCAGCCATTGATAAGTGTAGTTTGACAGCAGATAGTCCCACTTGCGGAATGCACTGTCTCTGGGGGATTCCTTCATCCACTTAGACTGTGTGGATAAAGAAATCCATTTTTTGTTCCTTCAGCTCGCTGACTGAATGAATAAAAAAAAAAAAAGATCCATCTATGACCAACTTAACAATGCTTATATGCTTACTGGATAGAAAAAGCACAGGGATGACTTAATGTTCTTTTTCTACTAATCAACAGTCTTTGTCTTTGACCAAACTGTACTTATTAAATGCAATGGAGAATAATTAAAATACTGAGCTGGCTTTGCTGTGTGGCAAGGTACCTGGATTAGAGGGCTGGGTGGTAAGAATGTATTCCAGTTATGTATTTAACCTGTTTGCCTAAATTTCACCTTTGGAGATCTTAGCCCTCCCTTTTTATGTTTTATATAGTAAGTGAAAGTCTGACTCTCAGACCCAGCTTTCACTGCTGGCTTTGCTTCTGGCTGTCAGTGATTCCAAGGTAGTACAGCAATCCAGGAGAGGCAAGAATGCTGGAAAAGGGAAGGTGGAGAGTTCTCTTCAGGGCAGTCGTTCTATCAAAAGTAAAGATCCCTCAGAATAATGTCTATGAGAGCATTATAGTAGAATTCCAATTGAAATACTCAATAATAGTACATATTATTTTATTGCACCTTTTTTACCTGTCACTTCATTTAATCCTGACTCAAAGCGCATGGTCTCTAAGAAGTGTTCTAAGATTTTTTCTGGATTTCCAGACATCACTGTATACCTGGAAATAAAATAAAAGTATTTTTTATAATAGACATAAGTAAAAGATATATAGAGCAGCTATTAGATATTATGACTAGAATATAAAAGGCTATATAGACTGTATCTTAGATACTGAGTCATTAGGAGATTTACTGCATGTTAGTCCTTCTGCTCCATATTATATATGAAGAGTTTACATATGTCCTTCATTTTTTCTCTTTGGAATTGTCATATCTTATAAGCTCAACCCTCATCCATATTCAGTATTCTGTATAACTGCAATGTATTTCTGATGTATTATCTACTGTTAGAGTTTGCCAAGATGTTTCCATTACAAAAATAAAATATATTTCTGCTATCACAACTATATCATAATAATAATGTATACCTTCAGTGGGTTGAGTAATATTGTGCTGTTGGAGGATACGCTGTAGTTACAAACAATTCATGTTTTAAACATTTTAGATTTAGATAATCTGCTTTTCATATAGTCAGTATTATTATCCAACAAACTATCTACCCATTGCATTGTGTATGCTGTGGGCTGTCCCATCAGGAAACAATTAAATACAATCTGACTGCCAGCCAGGACCCAAGGGCAAGAACTATTCCTGGTCCATGAACAGATGTATTATTTGATTTTTCTCTATGTAAACTTCAATAGACTATATTGTCCAGATTTTAAACTTACAAAGTGTTAATGTAGTATTATATGACATTGTCAACATTTTGTGAATGGCAATAACACTTAAAGGAGGAAGACCCACACAAACTTAGAATGTTCCTAAATTCTATAGAAAGAACTTTCAGATCAAATCAGAAATCCCAAATAGATTATATTACAGAGGAAAATAATGGTATTTGCCTGATAATATAAAGGTGATGTAATGATTTTCATATTATGTATATATACAAAATATAAACTGAATTACTAATTCCACCAATTCTGCCATTGCCTCAGCTTCTTATTGGTTAGACTTAACACCAAGAAGTATATTGTACTGAAAAGAAACTGATAAAAAACATATGTGATTTCATAACTTAAAACTTGGCATTTAATAATATCTGTTAATGATTCCAGGATGATTTACAACAAATTTGCAAGAGTGGTAAAATGAGACTTCAAGATAATCACTTCAATTTATGTATAGGCTAACTGACTGAGCAATATTTGGGGATTGCTAGACTAAAACTTCAGCAAGTTTATTCTTAAACTGCATTAAGCAATGCTTATGTCCAAAGCCCACCTAATCCATAGAAATCGTTGATGTACTTTGGTCAGGTCAATTAAGAAATGTTTTCTAATTGGTCATTATGCATTTGTGAACTTTGCATTTTCTTATACTGAATGGGATTACGTATGATAGATGTGAATGAGGGTACTGCAGATGCAGAATAAAATAGTAGCGGCTGACAGACTAACATACTTATAAGGGGATTGCGTGTTGCCTTGTGCTGACACTTGCGCCCCAGACAGAATTTTCTCCAACACCAAGACATCTTGATCGTGTTCTTTAAGCCTCACCGTATTTGCTTCAACATCCTATATGAATGGGAATAAATATAGAAAATATTATTCTAAAAATGCCCTCCTACTGTATTGTTGTTATTTCTGCTATGTAGAGCAAGGGGAATGATCAAGACCAGAGCTATCTGCACAGGAACAAAATTTGGTAAAACCATCCCTAGGCTATGTTTTCCTTCCTTTTTATCATGACCTATGACATGCGTTAGTGCCTTTTGGCCCCAGGCATCAATTGGATATAACTACTAGAATAGGTGACACAGCTAGACCTGATTTATGATCAGCTCTTTTCTGCTGGCTCAGGCCTATGTTGACTATTCACAAATATGAGTCTGCCTGTACACTTGTGGATGTATGTTTTAACCACAGCTGTAAGAAAAAATGTTTTTTGCAACCTTTGTCAGCTCTTTATTGCTTTCTGTACTTTGTTGCAGAATTTCCTTTATTTCCTGTCCAGTAAATTATTTACGAGTTTTATAGCGCCAAAGGGGTTTTCAGCGCTCTGTACAATAGGGGGGGACAATACATGGCACAGACAATGATGCGAGGGGGAGAACCTCTCTAAAACATCACCCATGATGCGAGGAGGAACCTCTCTAACATCCCAGACAGCAGGGGTTTTAATCTCTCTCTCCCTAATCAAAACTAAGAAAAAAAGTCTGGACATACACTTTAACTTTCTATTTCTGAGATCTCTGTACCTCGTTCCTTTGTCTAAACACTTGCTATGGCCATTATGAGGGGGGTTTCACTCTCCCTGCTGAATGTGTTACTTATTTATCACACAAAAGATGTTGCTGGAACATGCAAAGAAAGGCTGGAATATACAAAACTCTAATGAGTACAAAAGTCCCATATATTAGCAGGGGGATTTAAAATATAAGATTTAAATATATAAGACAAATAAGAAGAAGCCAGGGGCTATCTTAGCCCGCCAGGCTCCACCCTTTGTTTATTGAACAATTTATTATACACATTTAGCTGCCAAATTACACAGTCACTATTGCCAGTCAATACCAACCCTCAAGATTCGATTGAAGTCCTCTTTGTCCACTCGCAGAAAGTGGCAGTTGTCTTCCCGTAGAACTATAGATGCTGCCCGGGGTGCATCATTCACTAGAGCCAACTTTCCAAAGTCATCACCTTCATGAAGGGTACACACCACACCCTGAGGCAGACACAGAAAAGAAAGTGCAAATTTCCTATTAGTAAAAGTTTTTACAAACAATGGTTGCTTGCAATTACAGTTTTCCTTTAGAAAGTATTGCCTCCTTGACACTCTGTGGGCCTGATGCACTAAAGTTTATGTGTACAATCACTCATTGATAGTGCGCGAACAAGCAAATTGTGAGTTCGCTGAATTTATAGTGTGCCCATGATGTGTGCATACACATGTACACACAGGCTACAGCATCTATATATGTGGAATAACTAACATGGCTAGTTTTCTATAGAATGTATGCTGCAGCATTTGAAGGGAGTGCTCATGGAATTCATTTCACCTCATTGTGTGCACACCTTCACACACAGGCTAAAGTGAACATATTAACAATTTATAAAGGGTGGTTTCTATAGAACATTTGCTCCAGCCAAGCTGTATACCAGGTTAAGCATGGTGTACCTATAACTACAATTTAATGTTTGACCTTTGGGTCTATCTAACCACTGTTAGAATTTTTAAACATGCATATAATATAAAAATATCTATAGAATTAAAGGAGATTGTAAAAGGTTTTACTTGTAAAATGTTCAGTGATCACTTTGTATATGAACGCCCATGTGTGCAAGCAGGCCCAAAATATATTTTTTTTGTAAATTAAGCCCTATGTGTTTTAGGCTTCAAAACTACTGTATTTTAAAGACGTACACTTTTGGCATTCTCTAAAGATTGAATAAAGGTATTTTTCTACATGACGTTCTTGCAGATCCATACATTTTTACTTTCTTGCAAATCCATATTTTAAGGACTGTAATTAATATATAAATCTAGACATTCTCACTCTGTTGGATATCTGTATGTTAGACAACTGTAGTTAGCGCCTTTACTCAATAACTACAAAGATCAGGCCAGTTACATTATAATTTAACCAGAGTGAGTAGAAGGATGACCTCATAAGTATGCTACTGTCCAGTCAGAAAGCTGGCAGTGGAGAGAAGACACCATAGTATTCATTTGACAGTCTGTAACTCTAATGGCAAAAGTGTTGGCATCCACCTGGCTTTTCTGTTTGACAGGGCTAGGTAAGTCACAGGAATGCATAGGCATAAATGTATATGGTATCTTTTGTCATGTAAAGTAGCTGTATTTCACCTGTCTATTTAGCTGTTTGCCTAGAGTTCAGCTTTATTCTAGGGGAAAAATGGTGATTGACTCAGAATGTCCAAAGTAGATGGTCTGTTCTTCCTTTACACTGATTGCCCAAGGGGTGCCTCTATGGGTTGCACAGTATCATGGACTAGTGATTATTGCCTGATCCAACCAAAATCAGCCAAATTTTGGCAAGGTCCATTCATGTGTAGGGGCACTTTTATCTGATAAAGTAATTTAGAGAGCATTGATGGTGTAAAAAGAACAGAAAAGCATTCAAAGTCCACTGGTCTGCTAATATTAAAATAAAGTCTGATAATTATGACCTAGGCAGGCCACAATTAGAATTATTTTTTTGTCCAATCTGAAGAAGATTTAATGAGTTCCCACAACACTCAAGTACTTTTTTACAAACAAACACCAATCAAATGACAAGACATTGTTTTGAGAGCATCAACCAGTATCAAAGATAAATATCTTGAGTTTTAAAATGTTAAAATTTGTATGTAGTCTTTACAATTCTTTGCACATCCATTTTTTGGTCAGTTAGTGAAATATTTGCTGTATTGGACAAAAAATTGTTGTTTTGTTTATGGCTTGCCTTTTTTTATTGCATCATTGCTTATTGAATCTGCAAGTCCTCCAAAAGGAGAACACATTACTGTAGATAATCTTCTGGCTAACACAGTTCTGGTATTAAGTAACAATTAGACAGCACCTACTTGTCCTAAACTACCGCTGTTCTCTAGTTTAGTGGTGGGTTTAATTCACTTGCAGTGATAGGCAGCTATAAGTGATGGCAACCACAAATAATAAACTGTAGAAAGGAAAGTGGCAATGTTGCCAGCTGCAGCCAATCAGATTCCAAATGTCTTCTTCAGAGTACAAGATAGATAATGTGGTTAACATCTAATTCATCGCATTCTTTCAGTACATATTTTAATCAAGAGACATTGAAATTTATATTCTTTTTTTTAAGCTTGCACTATTGACACTGCAACTGTGTACTATTTACTATTGTTTAACTATTTATATAATTAACTATATTAGCATATCCTTTCCAATGTACAAAATTTGCTACATTTTCAGCCTGTGTGTGATTTTTTTAAATGCTACCCAATATTTTTTAGCATGTGTGCAATGGTCTCAAAGAGCTCTTGGACTTGGGCACAGAACAGTTTTAAAAGAAGTGGACCAAATTCATACATTTGCTAGCATAAAGAAGAGAAAATACCTTGCCATAGATGACCACGTTGACAGATCCTTTTAATATGATATACCATGAAGTCCCTTCTTCGCCCTGGTTAAATACTGCAAATAGAAATCTCATTAGTTAAATTCATACTTATCCATGTACAATGAGAAACAAAATTTAACCCAGTCAACCTGCAGCTAGAATTTGAAAAATTAGAACCCCCATTATGAGGTGGAAGAATATCAACCACAAAACATCTTTATCTAATGTGACTACACCAAAACACACGGTGCATGCCAGCTTAGAGAACTTGTCTGAAAGCATATCAATTTTCCATCTGAGACAATAGGGGGTATCCATCAATTAAAATAAAAATAATTAACAGTCCTAAATCAGGGCTTTAAAAAGGAAAAGCATAGTGTAAATTCTGAGTTATTATTATGGTGTTTACCTTAAAAGTATTTTTGTTGTGACTTTCATATTTCTGTCTGTTTGTCAGTCTATATTTTTGTTACTATAGTGATTTTTATTTTAATCACTAGAGGGCCCTCTCTATTTATCTGCAATCGCTCAGCCTCCCTACCGAGTTGGTAGACCTATAGGGGAAAATTTACCGGTACTAAAAATGTTTACCTAGCAAATTAAATGTTCACTTTGCAAAGTTTATGTCAACTTTGCTAAGTGAATAATAGTAAATAAGGTGAACCTGTTTTCATTTTAAATATCCAATCATATGTGAGGGAAATTAAAAAAACAGGATTTTTGCTTTGTACATAGCTGGATATTTAAAGTAAACATGGAGAAATAGGAAGAGGCTCTGCATGTGTATTGGCTAAATAAAACTGCCTCTATGTACACATATAATTATAAACTATACAAAGCAACATATATTTTAGAATAATATTAAAACACATCTATAATATTAACAGCATATGGATCTCTTTTATGCAACGTGTATGAATAGTAATAAAACAACCCGAAAAGACCATACATTATTTTTAAATCATCAGATACACTTGAAATGTATAAATATTCTGATCCTAGTTTTTTTTTATTTTCTATGTTGTATTGAATTCTATTAATATACTTACAAACTGTTCCTGCTTTTGGATGAGATTCAAAAATTAAAAATCCAGCCAGTTCCCGTTTAACCTTAATGAAAACAAAATAAAAAAACATCACTTACAATTAAAATGACATGAAATAATGCGATGATCAACTTCTTGTTCTATTTCATGAAATTGCAAATATCCTCCCAAATTAAGAATGGATTTTAAAAGCAAAAACAATTACAAATTATTGAAAATATACAAATATACCAAGTCAAATGACTTACCGTGGTGGAGAGGTGAGATAAGGCTTTTATGTGAATAAGTTCCTCGAAAATAATTTCCAGATCATCAGCCGTCCTCTGACCTGGTCTGTGCAATAAAGAATATATAAGTAAAAAAGAAAATAATCCACACTGGGGTGAAAAGCTTCTTAGAATAAAACATAGCCTTATTTGTGATAACAAATACTATTTCAAAATGAAGGGTAGAGCTACATTGTTTGAATTGTGGTCAACATGCATATAACAATAAAGTGCAATTTAAATTATTAATAACAAATTATGAAAAAGTCCATATATAAATCAATTGATATATATATATATATATACCGTATATATAGAAAGACTTTTTTAACCTCCCTAGCGGTATTATTATTTCTGATTTTTGGTGCTGAAAGCGGTACCATTTTTTTTGCATGGAAATATGTAGTTTTTTATTGTAGGCTGTAATTTTTAGGAATAACTCACTGAAATCTGTCCAAACAAGAGTCTAGTAAACATTCCGGATATGATAAAACTTGAAACACGAAATCATAAACTATAATTTAATTAATAATCTAAAAAATAATAATATAATAATAAATTTAATTCAATAATATAATCAAACCAAAAACACTGAAATTTGAAATACAGAGGCAAATTCGCACATCGCTGAGCAAAGTCGCAAAATCGTTTTCAGTGTCTGATGACGAATTTCCCCACGAATCATTATCACTCAATTCTGCAAGTGGTTCTAAATTACTATCGCTGTTCTCTAGCTGGTCTAAAACCGCTTTTGACATAAAGGGATGCTTTTTGGACGCCATGGACTTTTCTAAGTTTCCAGGCAGAAAGAACAGTCAAAATGTAGGCAGGGCACAGGACAAAGCAGTAGGGACAAAATATATGTGAAATGCATTGAAACAGCAATGTTTTACTATGTAATGATCATTTTTAAAAAAATTATATTTTTTTAAAAATTTCAAATTTGCCCCCATACGTCCCGACATCACAGGGACCGGAACACGGAAGCCGGATGCCGGCATCGGCCGGAGGAGATGGCCGGGGACGCTGCAGGGGACACATTGCGGGAGCGAAGGACAAGGTAAGCGCTGCAGGGAATCCCTGAGCAGCGCCGCATGGTAAGCCCAAGTGTAGCTCGGGGTTACCGCTCTTGGTACTGAAATTTTCCCCCGAGCTACACTCGGGAATACCGCTAGGGTGGTTAATTTTCTTATTACATATTTACCTTGCATTTTATTGTTATATGCACACAGAGCACAATTCAAAAAAATTTAGCGCTACCCTATGTATTTTATTTTAATAGAGAATATATATGTATATTCTATAACATACAAGACAACCAATTAAAGACTTAATCCTTCCAAAGCATATAAGTAAGAAACTGAATGCAATTAATCAAAATTAATTTACATTTAACTGGCTAGCCACCGATCTGATACAAACACATATATCTTTATCCTTTTAAATATAATGTTTACTTCGTAGTTATTTGACATTTTGCATGCTATCTGCTATGTCAACCTGCATGCTACCTTCTACCTTATGTGATATTCCAAGGGACATCTGTAGCTTTCACAGAACATTTCTTTTATTCTTGGCAGTGGAATAGTGAGAGAGTGAAAGGAAGGTAAGTAAATATGTCCATGGAAGGCTGCATTAAGGTTAACCTGCTGCTTTGCTCTACATGGGCAAAGCAGAGCTTCACTTTAAGGACATATGTTGACTTTAGTTCTTTTCAGAACTGATCTCCATAAAGGCCTATCGGAATGGATGAATGGGTGGGGGGATTAACACAAAATGATTGCCCCCCCCCCAATCACTGCATGGGGTTGTTGTCTTACAGCATTACAGCACATCAACTCACCTGCTGCACAAGCCACTGGACTCACCTGACTGAAAGAAACAATCTGTCAGGCACCTGCACCACAAAGAAAAGGGGGCCTGAGGATGCTAGTCAGCAGCAGAACCTCCTGTGTGCCCTCCACCAACTTGTCCTCTTTGGCTCAGCCTTGGTGATGTGATTGTGTTTACAATTTAAGTTTAAATGCAGATTACATTTGGATAATTTTGGACTGTTTATTTATTTGTCAAATGAATACATTTTTTT